AAATTCCTTTTTTTGTTTTTTTTCCATGTGTCTTTGTTGTTTTGCTTTTTGGGATCACAATACCATGAATAAGGAATGTAGGCTAAACATTTCGTTTGTGTAGCGATAGCAGGACTTCAGTACATAATGGACGCTTCCACGCATAAGATAAGACAGCGAAACGTTTACCTTTTATTACCACAACATACACTGATACCAACTTTTCAGATAATCGAGGGATCAAAGAAAAAATGGAATAAACACTTAAGAATTTATCTGGGAACAGCAGAGCCAGGAGAGGAGGGCCATTAAACAGGAGTTCATTATTCGATCATAAAGACAATTTCCGTTGCCTGTGCTCTTCATAGCTATAAATTATTGGTTGTGTCCACGAGTAGATATTCGGGTAATAAAAATTAAAGAAAAATTCGTAAGTGGTTCCGCGAAACCCTGTGTCTCGCCTGTGATTGCTGCTGTCAGTGTAAAAGTGTAATGTTGACCTAAAAAGTTAGTCCATTTATCAGTAGAATACAGAATTAGAAAAATAATCAAACTTTTCTTTAGATGCTATTCTTGGTCCTGAAGATAAGCGTCAGTCTAAGATCCATAACAATCCATGAAGGTTTACAAATTGGTTATGTAAAATATATTCAATCCCAGACTGTCTGTAAATGTTAACTGTAAACAACGAAAGCCATCTAACAGAAAAAATACTGAAAATGAAAAAAATATATTTTCAAAAGTTTGCTACAGACATTATCTCTTAATCATTAAAAAGCTTCTCCCAAAGTTTCATAAAAATTGTATGGTGGTTTGACAAAGTAATTGATGTGTAACAAACTTTAACACCAGACTGTATCTACTTGTTAATAGTAAAAAACGAAAAAATAACTGGAGGCTCTAAAGAACCTGTGTCGCTAACCTTGGTCTATGTGCATATTTGACAAAGGACACGCTCCAACATTGTAGACAAGAATAGAATTCATGACAAAAAATCTCTGTTTTGTTGATCTTGTATTACTGATCATTTAGTCTGTTTAATTTCTCTCTATCTTCTTTAGTTTTTGCTCAAAACACCAAAGAGGGTAAAACAAATCCTCATTTAAGGGCATTCACTCCAGGCCTATAAGGAGTCGTCGGACGATTTCCTCCAAATTGTCTAAATTGTAGATCTTGTCTTGTTGATCATTTTTGCTTACTTAAGTTTCTATCTATCTATTATAATTTTTAAGATACAAGGCAAAAACGCAAACAATTGGTAAAAATCGTCATCAAAGGGCAATAACTCTAATAAGGAGTCAACTGACGATTTCGACCAAGTTAAACTTATTTGTAGAACTTGTCTTGTTGATCATTTTTGCGATTTAAAGTTTCTCTCTATCTGTTATAGTTTTCAAGATAATAGGCAAAATGAAAAAAAAAATGATAAAATTTGTAATCTGAGGGCAATAACTCCTATAAGAAGTCGTCTGACAGTTTTGACGTATATAGACAATTGGTAGAGCTCAACATTCTGAACATTTTTGACAATGTCAGAATTTCTCTGTTTATAACAGTTTTCAAAATAATAGACAAAACTTGAATTTTACCCCTATGTACTATTTTTAGCCATGTTGGCCATCTTGGTTGGCAAGCGGGGTCATCAGACACATTTTTGAAACTAGATACCCCAATGATGATTGTGGCTAAGTTTGGTTAAATTTGGCCCAGTAGTTTCAGAGCAGAAGATTTTTGAAAAAGTTAACGATTATGGACGACGACGACGGACGCCAAGTCATGAGAAAAGCTCACTTGGTTATTCGGGCCAGGTGAGCTAAAAATAAATATTTTCAAACATTCGCTCTTAATACTGTATGTTGGTCATAAACAAGCTTCTGTCCAAATGTCATAAAATCCCATGAAGGTTTGACAAAGTTATTGGTGATGACTGAAAAACTTTAACCTCAGAAAATTCGGTATGTTAACTGTAAAAAAGAATAAATTCCTTTATCAGTTTAATACGGGAAAAAAATTGTTCTGGATTCTGTCGTTTGGACATAAACAAGCTTCTGTCTAAATTTCAAAAATTCCATGACGCTATGTCTCGCTTTCGTGATATAAATGTCTCAGGGTCGACAAAAATCACCCGAGACTTTATTTGCAAGACCATTCGGTCTAAAAATAACGTTAAATATACCTACAGATGTTAATTCCGATGCAAATATTTGTTGTTCAATGTCAATTTCCTTGTTAGTTAAAGTTATATTAGTTTGAATTCTTCCATGATCATGCATGCAGAATGTATAATTAGTCTTTAGTTCCATATCATTGCCATGATTAAAATTTGCCACACCCCAATTTTTTTTAACTTTCAAGTACATTATTTAATTATCTTGATATTTGCCTTTATTTGACTACAATATAAGGCAGCCACAGGCCTATAAAATCAGGAAGCTAATACAGCAGTATACGCATAAATTAGGGTTGTACCAATCCATATGGGGATAGACCGAAATGTGCTATCCTTGCTGATGAATATGATTAGCTGTATATATAGAAACAATACCTTAGTCGAATTTTAAATCTTATAACGACAACTTGCAATGAAAATTGAAAAAGCAATACATTGTATAATTATAGATACAGTACCGGAAGCTCCGACCAAGTATGGGATGGAATCTATCAATAGATTTATGCAACACCATACATCAAAGGAACACTTGAAAAGGATAGTTAATATCATCAGAATGAAATCTACTTAATAGATCGGTATAAGAAGAAGACACTGAAATATCCTGAAATACAAGAAAATCCATCCCTATGCCTCATTAAATATGACAATTTATAGGGAACAACTCAGTTAGTGTGAACATAGGAGAAATAAAGATCTTACTAGTAACACAAACATATAATCCACAGACAGTTAGGTCAAGACATGATAAGAAGATATCCCCATTGTTTACATTGTGTAAAGCAGCAGTTGAAGATCAAGAACACTTTATACTAGCATATACTAGTCATAAACATACACGTAAAAGGTATCTCCAGAAAATAAAGTAATACCTAGACAACTTAATGTATGGCTCTATCAGAACTTGGTTGACTGTGACATGCTTATACAAATTGTGATGGACTGTACACATAAATGCATTAACTATGGATTCCATATGAAACAATAACACTAAATGGAACTGGAAAGCCTTACACGGCTCTTCTGCTACGACATGAATACCAGTAGAATGAAACAGATGGCAGGGTATGGATTAGGGCTAAGCATTACACATATTGCATATTTAGAAACATTCAACCTCCTAAAAAACAAAGTCGGTTTGCTTGAGTAGTAATATAATAGTATATATAGAACATACCTCTATTTAGTGTTTATAACGCTTTTTATGTTCTGCATAATGCTTTAATGTCCCCTTTAATAGTTTGCATATTCTAAGCAAACTGCTTGTGCACGCTGTTATCCATTTTTATCCATAACGTATAGTCGAAAAAAAAAATTATTTTATACATCTTTGAAATAGTTAGACATTGGAATTATTTAAATAACATATGTAATTGTTTTGGGTTACAAATTATAAATAACTTCAAGTCTTAATTAAATCACAAGTTTCCATCTATTTATATCTTAAGATCTTCAAGAAAAATGATATTTTAATAGTACCAAGAGACCAATCTTTGACCCAGAAGCGTCGATATGAAATGTAAGTGCATCAAAAAGGCATTTAGTGTTTCAGGAGGATTAATTTCACGGGAAAAAATAAGCAGATGTCTGTGAAAATTAGTTAAAGCTAGTAAAATCTTTATAAATAGACGCATATAAAAATAATATTTACAAAAGTTACTTTATAAGTAATATTTAAAATAGTCTCATTTTCTACATAACTTGTATAGGCAATTTTGAAAAAGTAAAATCACAAAAATACTGAACTCCGAGGAAAATTCAATCGGAAAGTCCCTAATCACATGGCAAAATCAAATGACAAAACATATCAAACGAATGGACAACAACTGTCATATTCCTGACTTGGTACAGGCATTTTCAAATGTAGAAAATGGTGGATTGAACCTGGTTTTATAGCGCTAAACCTCTCTTGAAAGTTACTTGTTAAAGAAATGCTCCTAACTGTTTATAGAGATTCTCTCTCATTTTATGTGACCATGTATTGAAATAAGGTTACTATCCCAAATGTAATATTTAATTTAGCACCAAGAAAACAATTTTCTGCACAATTACTGTTAGTTTTAGAAACTATGAACTTTACCTTTGAGGTTTGGACCTTAAAATCGTAAGCTTAGGGAAGATGAATCCATTAGATTTATAAGTTTACAAAAAAGGCTCGCTGAAAATTCAGATGTACACTCTTTTTTTGTTTTATTTGTGGCAAACAAAAAAACACATATTGACTTCTTAGACTAGAGGCTCAGAGTAATTGTATTCTCACTATGACCAAAAATCATGAAATCTGGCAAATGTAGTTCCTTGAAGTGAATGCTAAATAAGAAAAAACATGATCTTTGTCATTGGAGCCTGTGTGTAAAACAGTTTCATCTACCTCAAACTTCATATCAATGTAATTCAGCAATTATAGATTTATACATTTGTCAAACAATAATGCATATCATTTGGTAACATTCTACATAGTTTAAAATAGTTTCCTCTCTTCCTCTTGTAAAATAGGTAGGATACACCTAAGTCAGGAGCCTGTAATTCAGTGGTTGTCATTTGTTTCTATATCATATATGTCTTTCGTTCATTATTTTGTACATAAATCAGGCCATTAGTTTTCTTGTTTGAATTGTTTTACACTTTTCATTTCGGAGCCTTTTATAGCTGACTATGCGGAATGAGTTTTGCTCATTGTTGAAGGCCATATGGTGACCTATAGTTGTTTCAAACTTATATGTAATTTGGTCTCATGCGGAGGCCACATCTACTTATTTTTATAGGATACACCTATAATGTTTTGGTATACCTAACTAAGATTCCAAACTGAATATCAATTAAAGGTGATTCCACCAATAAATGAGACCCATTATTCACATTGTGATATATTTATTTCAATAGGCAACAAAACGTCTTCACTCAATTGAATGAATGATGTTTAAGCAAGTTACATGACAACTAAGTCACACTAATCCGTATTCCAAATTCATCTTTACACCAGAAGAAGATTGTATTACCATGACAACTAGTTAACTCCTAATCTTTGTGTTTATGATTCATCTATGACATAAAGTTTTATATTTCCGAAGAATCTTTCATTGGTTTATTATTGTAAATGTCAGCAGAAACAGCTAATTATAATGTATTAACAAGTTCTATTTTATTCTTCTCTCCATATGGAGGAGGTCCTATAAGGTCTTTAATATTATCATATGTTATAGCTTCATTCTTAAATAGTTCTTCAGCCATCTGCAAAAATAAAAAGAGAATCGTAAACTCCTAGTTTCAATTAGGTTTTTGAACTTTTTTCCCCTCTAAATTACTCATGTTACTGTTTTGAATTCAAAGTGAGTAATCTAGAGCTTGAACTTGTGTTTAGACATCTGTCTAAAGTTGATTCGCATACTGTGGATTGGTCATTACTTGTGGGATACCAATTTTCATGGACTTCTTGGGAAAATATGACCAATGAATTTAAATGTTGTTTTTCTTTTTGTGTCGTTAGGTTGCCGTCACACATCTTTTTTTATTCAAATATTAAACAATTTCAACACTGCAGCATTTTTTAACCTTTTGACTAATGTGAAATTATATATTTGTTCATTCAGTCAAAGCAGTGTTTTGATCTTTTGGTAGTTAAATTTTAACAGAAAGCAACAAGACTCTGACACTAAAATTATTAATGCACCTTGCTGTTCAAATATAATTGTTTAAAGTAATCATGATCAGTAGTTCTAATTAAGTGAGAATAAAATGCTATGTTGGGCACAGCTTTGTACGACCGCAGAGGTGAAACCCTGAACAGTTGGGGCAAGATGGACACAACATTAAAGCTTAATACAGCTCTGAAAAATTTGAAATTGGACATTTACCTATTATGGTTCAACATCCAAAATCTAAATACATGGTTAGCATGGTTAGATTCAGCATATCAAAGAACCCCAAGATTTCAATTTTTGTTGAAATCACACGAAATTTAATTTTGGACCCTATGGATCTCAATATGGACAAATTCAAAAACGGGGCCCAAAATTCAAAATCTAAATAAAGAGTTAGATTCAGCATATTACAGAACCCTAAGAATTCAAGACTTTGAATTAAAACCCCATTGAAATTGGTCAAGAAATTAGCAGTCTATACAAAGTATTAGAAAAGTATTGATTTTGGTCCTTTTTCCCTAAACTGTTTAGGCCATATTTTGTGCTCGACTAGTAAAGTCGGGCACAGATTTTTTTCTCGACTAGACTCGACATTATCTTGACAGTAATTAACTGTACTTAACTGTACTCGACTTTGGTCTCGACCTTACTTAATAAGTCTGATTCAGTACTTGAAAATCTTGGTGTAGTCTGAAATGGTCTCGACCAAGGGTCGACCTGTCTCGACCAGTCTCGACTCAGTCTTGACCAGTCTCAACCTGTCTCAACTAGTTTTGACCTTCAAATTTAGTCTTGACTGGTCTGAATCAGCCAATCTAACTAAATTAAATATTGATCTTACAAAATTCAAGGTTATTTGGTAATTTGGTTCATTGCAGTGAAATAAAAGAATTTAATTAATAGGTAAAAAAAAAGCAAGATTTTTCAGTTTTGATTAAATTCAGATAGTCATCTTTAATAGTTTCTATAACTTTTTCAAATCAAATTGGATTTTCATAAATCTATACAGCTATCTCAGTTATATATTGATCTTACTGAATCCCAGGTCGTTATGTAGTTTGGTGTATTGCTGTCAAATTTAAGGATTTAATTAATCTAGGTCAAAAAAGGTAGAATTTGCAGTTCGGACTAAATTCAGATAGTCCTCTTTCATTATTTCTATAACTTTTTCAAATCAACTTGGATTTTCATAAAACTCTACAGCTGTCTCAATTATATATTGATCTTACAGAAAACCAGGTTGTTTGGTAGTTTGATTTATTGCTGTCAAATTTGAGGATTTCATTAATAGATAAAAAAAGCAAGAATTTTCAGTCAGATTGAATTCAGATAGTCAACTTGAAATTTGTTAATTACTTTTTCAAATAAAATTGGATTTTTATAAATCTATACAGCTATCTCAGTTATATATTGATCTTACTGAATACCAGGTCGTTATGTAGTTTGGTGTATTGCTGTCAAATTTAAGGATTTAAATAATCTAGGTCAAAAAAGGTAGAATTTGCAGTTCGGACTAAATTCAGATAGTCATCTTTAAATTTTTTTATAACTTTTTCAAATCAACTTGGATTTTCATCAAACTATACAGCTATTTCAATTATATATTGATCTTATAGAATGCCAGGTTGTTTGGTACTTTGGTTTATTGCTGTCAAATTTAAGGATTTAATTGATAGGTTATTAAATAAGCTAAAATTTTCAGTTCAGACTGAATTCAGATAGTCACCTTTAAATTTGTTTATTACATTTTCAAATTAACTTGGATTTTCATAAAACTATACAGCTATCTCAATTGTATATTGATCTTACTGAATCCCAGGTTGTTATGTTGTTTGGCATATTGCTGTCAAATTTAAGGATTTAATTAATCAAGGTAAAAAAAGCTAGAATTTATAGTTCGGGTTAAATTCAGATAGTCATCTTTAAATTTTTTTATAACTATTTCAAAGCAACTTGGATTTTCATCAAAATCTACAGCTATCTCCATTACCCGGTATATATTTATCTTACAAAATACCAGGTTATTTGGTAATTTGGTTTATTGCTGTCAAATTTAAATATTTAAATTATAGGTATCTATCTGAATAAAGTCAAATCTGAAAATTTTAGCCTTTTTTTCCTATTAACTAAGTTCTTAATTTTGACAGCAATACGCCAACATACAAAACAACCAGGCATTCTGTAAGATCAATATATAATAAAGATAATCTGAAAAGTTTGATAAAAATCCAAGCTGATTTGAAAAAGTTTTATAAAATTTTAAAAATGACACCTTTGTTTTGTTAAAACAAGAATTTAATATATCATGATAATAGAACTTAAAAAGATGACTATCTGAATTTAGTCCGGACTGAAAATCATAGCTTTTTTTACCTTGATTAATTAAATCCTTAAATTTGACAGCAATATGGCAAACAACAACCTCGGATTCAGTAAGATCAATATACAACTGAGATAGCTGTATAGTTTTATGAAAATTTAAGTTAATTTGAAATAAATGTGGAATGTGTCCATGGGACACAAATATTGCCCCCGCTTGCATATCATATAAAGTTATAAAGGGACATAACCGAAGAACGGTTAATGTGACCCTACCCAAATTTGAACTTGATCTGAGTTTTGTGGTAATAAGTATTCATAAAATGTGGTTGAGTCAAACTTCAGTTAGAGAATGGAAACGAAAAATTCAGCAACTTTTCCATTTGTAAAGGGGCATAACTCTAGAATGGTTAAAGTGACACCACCATAATTCAAACTTGATCTGTATTTTGTGGTAATAAGCATTGTGTATAAGTTTCATAGCATTTGGTTGAGGCAAACTAAAGTTAGAGAATGGGAACGAAAAATTCAGCATTTTTTCCATTTGTAAAGGGGCATAACTCTAGAACGGTTAAAGTGACACCCCCAAAATTCAAACTTGATCTGTGTTTTGTGGTAATAAGCATTGTGTATAAGTTTCATAACATTTTGTGGAGGCAAACAAAAGTTAGAGAACGGAAACCAAATTTGGGACGTACGGACGGACGGACGTACAGACGGACAAGGGTAAAACTTAATGCCCCCTCTGCGACAGCAGGAACATAAAAACAATAAACAAATTTAAAGGTGACTCTCTGAATTCAGTCTGAACTGAAAATTCTAGCTTATCTAATTACCTTTCAATTAAATCCTTAAATTTGACAACAATAAACCAAAGTACCAAACAACCTGGCATTCTATAAGATCAAGATATAATTGAGATAGCTGTATAGTTTGATGAAAATCCAAGTTGATTTGAAAAAGTTATAAAAAAATTTAAAGATGACTATCTGAATTTAGTCCGAACTGCAAATTCTACCTTTTTTGACCTAGATTAATTTAATTCTTACATTTGACAGCAATACACCAAACTACGTAAGGACCTGGGATTCAGTAAGATCAATATATAACTGAGATAGCTGTATAGTTTGATGAAAATCCAAGTTAATTTGAAAAAGTTATAGAAATAATTAAAGATGACTATATGAATTTAATCAATACTGAAAATTCTTGCTTTTTTTTTACCTATTAATAATTTAATTCTTTTATTTCACAGCAATGAACCAAACTACCAAAAAACCTGGAATTTAGTAAGATCAATATTTAATTTGGATATTGTAAGATCAATATTTAATTTTGTTAGATGGGCTGATTCAGACCAGTCAAGACTTAATTTGAAGGTCAAGAGTTGTCGAGACTTGTCGAGACTGGTCAAGACTGGTCGAGACTGAGTCGAGACTGGTCGAGACAGGTCGAGCCTTGGTCGAGACCATTTCAGACTACACCAAGATTATCAAGTACTGAATCAGACTTATTAAGTAAAGTCGATACCAAAGTCGAGTACAGTTAAAGGAGACATGACACGATTTTCAGTTTTGTTTCAAAATGTTTATTTATACACAACTTTCCCCAAAAATACATCGATAGCAATATAAGTGTCAAATATTTGGTAAAATATGTATTTTAAGGCAACCATTTATGGACCTGTCAAATATGCATATTTCCATCCCAGAAGTCACTCAGAACGAGACTACTACGTCACTGGTTACTTTCATTCATATTGACATATGGGTATAGCGCAAATTTAGTTTCGATTATTATCCAACAAAACGCATGACAGTGTTAAACAATGATTATGTGTGATGCCGATGGATTCAGCAATATAATTAAAAAGAATAATGACATGATATTTTCTGTTTTTCCAATTACACGCTGACTTAGAATTGGTGTAAACATGGGACTTTTTAACAAGGATTTGTATAGTAAGACAATACACATCCTTATTTTTAACAACCCCAAACTACACTTCTTTCCGCCCACTTTCATAAGGAATCCAGAGTTGGGGTCTCGGGTGCCATGCCATGAGTTCATCATAGGTCACAGTTGTGGGTACAGGTGATTGAATTTCGCAATTTCAGGTCTCGTTTGAAGTTGTAAGCTTCAGGTGTCACGCCGCATGACATAGTTACTACGCAATATTACTTCATAAGCTCTTTGTGTACATCCTTGATGTTGGTTTTGCCGAGGGCGCAGGTGAGATTGGAATATATTATTGTTACAGTAATACAGGTA